AACGCGCCTACCATATCCGCCGATTGATTTGACAAAACGAGATGCGAACACACCGCGCTCGTCATTGTCCTAATTGTTCCAGTCCTCAGCCAAGCCGAGCGATCGGATAAGCGCCTGGTCGTGCGGCCAATGAACCGATTGCCACAGGAATAGGTGAATGAATATACACAGAATGAGGCTGCAGAATCTGGCACTCTGTCCTTCAGTCGGAAAAGCATAATCGATTAGCGTGTGAACACACCTTTTAATTGTGCAGCGTAAAATGTTCTGCTTACTACATTTGTGAGCTTTCTTTGAAAGACTTCCGCCTTCGTATCTCCCTTAAACGGCTGTGATCACTTTCACACATGCACACTTGATTGGACCCGAAGTTGAACCATTTAGAGCTGGAATCTCTCATTCCCTGTTTGTTCTTGTTGTGAGCCATATTTAAAATTATGTAACAGCATGACTACGAATAACTGAAAACGAGCTTGTTTGCCACACTGCTGTTCTCAAGGTGTTCTGTGGGACTAATGAAACGTTTGAAACTTAAAATTTCCCGAGTTACCCGATGGCATAAAACAGATTAAGTAGAATTTTTCAGGTGATGAATCAACAAGGATTGATCATTGGTTGGTTGAGTTTCTATTGGAATCGGACTGGATACCAGGACAAGGGATTCACATTAAGTTCAACATCAAGTTAGCGGGGTAATCTGACGTGCAGTGTGGAACTTCAAATAGTCCGCAATTGAATCTAGTCAGAAGCAGCAAAATTTTGAGTTAAATCTTTCATTGAACTATCAATGGAAGTTTACCAATCAGATTTCACTTTATCGTTTCCAACTCCATCAGACAATAAAGGAACGGTGATACGGTTGTCCAGTCTAGAGAGAGAGCAATAGTCAATATCTTTAGACAGTAGATCAGGTTGCACACGAATAGGAAAGGACCGAATGATCATACTTTGGCCACTGCCAAGACCGTGATAGTGTAACTGACTATTCTTTTTGCACAGATGCACAGGTCAGATCTTAATCTTCTAAATGCAACCAAAGGCGTGAACCTAAGAAGACGGAGTTAGTGCTAACAAAAGTCACCATAAATCGACTTGTCGGGTCCGGACTATGATTTCAATCAATATATGTTGTACTGGTTGAGATGTAGCGAAGTCGTGCAACCAAGCTCTCTTTCTCTCCAATAAATAAACAGTCAGTTATTGATTTACTAGTATTTGAATAGACGTATTGGTGTGCCCCCAGTCAGACGTAGCATATTGATCTTAAATTTATCGTGCAATGAAGTCAATAAACAACGGACATAGAAACGGCTACTTTCCTAGATTGCCTCCGCCAACTCTGTGTTGTAGTCAGCGCACTGATTCCCGTAAGGGCATGAAACAAAGATAGACTGACTAGTATCGCATCAGAAATGGAGTAAAGGTAGCCCACAAACTTGTGGTTTATTTTTGTACCGTTCAAAATATGATCATTTCAGTGTTCCGGAAATAGTGGCTATATTAGTCAGACGTACGTCCTTTATTATTGTTCTCGGATTTAAATTTGTGAAGGAAAAGATTAATCTTTTTAAACTTATTTGTTCCTCATGATTGGCCGACTGGGATAACAAACGATCATGGTTTCGTCGTAAATCGGTTAATTCCCGCTCGCTTTTTTCCAGTCGATTTGTCCACTTCTGCACGGTGTCCGCCTGGTGGGTTTGTAAGCTGAGTTGGGCATCTGTGAGGGTAGGTGAGACGGGAGTTTTTACCAAGGTAAGGAATTATGCGACTTGTTTTGATATTGTGTTCAGACATATTGCACATAGTGATAATCAGACTTACTGAGTTGACGCCGTAGCTCGCTGGTTTCCAATCGGGCATGATCTGCATCTTGCTTGAGCAGGGTATGCGTACTTTGTGCTTGTTCATAACGGAGATTCAGCTCGTCATATTGCTTACGTAACTGGTGCAGTCGCCCCTCTGTCTCACTGAGTCGCAGGACCAATGTCTCCATATCCAGCTAGTTTTTGATAGCGATGTTCGTGATACGGACGAAAATGGGGAAAGATGGAAAGAAGTAACAAAGTCAGTGGATGTGCACTTGACGCAGGAGGAAACAATGAGGTATGGTGTTCACGCGTTGTAAGTTTTGTCGTAAATTCCTGGTCGTAACAGTGGTCGGGTTTCTACTAAGATACAACGCGTCCCCTGGAGTGCACCCGCGAAGAGTGTCACCTCAGTCGAATGACCTAACAGTAAAGATGGTTACCGGGTCGTAGGCATACATGCTAACAGCGAACGCCAAATTATCCTTTGTTAAAGTCAGTTAATCTGCCCTACTGTTCCAACTGACGCGAAGGGTAAGCGTATGGGAACACTGTAACCCAGTCATGAATTTCCCAGAGGATTAGTGACAACGTTCGACTAAAAGTGTCACTAGATATTCAGGAACTTTGCATATTCTCTGTTTGTATTGTTGTGCGCATTATGCTATTTGTTGTAGCTCATGGTTGGAGATACCGCTAATGCAAATTATTATTTAATCCAAGCTTCTCGATTCACCGCAACTTTCTTTCTGTACGAATAGACCTAGAGTGCGTCCAGAAATTGTGGTGATAATAAAAACTTTCATGTCGATTGAAGATAAGGTAAAGGAAATTAAATAGCTCAATAGTGAAGTTTTCCTAAAGAAGATTGCCTTTCAAGATAAAGGTCATATGGATTTAGAAGAAGGCCAGCATCAAAGCTATCAATGAACCAGGAACATCAGGTCAGCACGAGGTCCTGTATTCACATCTTTATTGGTTCGACGATACCCCAAGTAGTGCGTTCAAACGGTTTCTTGCTGCTTGTAGGAGTCATTTTCCGTTAACAGAAGATCACTCGCAAAAAAAGGGAATAGCGATTTTCGCGTATGCAGGGATAGGGCTGAAAAATCGAATGACACTATGCACAAACCGCGATACGGTTTCCAGATAGTCATCCAGGACAAACAGGTTGCAACCAATCCGGTAAACTAGGCTCATGCAATCGGATTGGCTCAATGTAGGAAAGCGAATATTACGAATCAAAGGCCCAACGGTAATAACAACTGGGCGATCAAGGACCAAGCACTCGGCAATGGAGACAAATTATATTTATTTGTAAATTTCTCAATAAAATGAACAATATCCACAAGTCATTTTGCTTCTATTTGACTTTACATTATTCAATAGGTCTTCAGCCTACAGCCAATATTCCGTTATTCGATTGAGAGCGTTATTTTGACTACCACAAAACTTCAACAGGTTTGTGATATGGTATCCAGGCTCCTTGAGTGGCAAGGTCACTGTGGTGGTTCAATCCCGAGAGACACGCCACCCCAAGGGCTATGCGTTCCATTTTCTGGACATTAAATCACAGGACAACCGAATCCAATACGCAAAGGCCACGTAGTTCAAACAGAAGTGATTAGGGGAATAATGACGGTGATTAGTTGCTAGCCCCCTAACCAATGATTTTTAGCCTTGGATATTATTTAATCACACCAGTTTCTTACAATAAATGAACCGCTACTTCTGTGACCTTCTTCCCGCATCTCGGTGACGAGAGATTCCGATATGCGATTACCAGTACGATCCCGTGTTTCATTAGCGATTACGATTCGTATCTATTCCGGTTAGTCCAGTCACATTCCAAGTAAAGAATTATCAAACTGTGAAATGTAGTCCTGCTTTATGCGGAACTGATCAACAACACAGCAAGCATAATACAAAAGATTTAATTATGATAAAATTGCTTGATACTTTCGGTTTATTTCAGAAGCCATTCAGAAGGTAGTTGGTCAATGACAACCTGTATTCCGGTTTTCTTTCCCCACATTCTGAACATTCATGTCAAGACGGATCATTCCTGCGGAGTGAATAACTTTGATTAATCCTGGCGACTTTCACCCTTGAGAGGCAGAACTCTACTAATAATTACGGACGGTACAAATCGAAGCGTACTGCTCGGAACTTGATTGTTTGAACCATGAAAACTTATTCCGTAAAACTAAAATATGCAACTCGAGTGTACTTAATCAGATGTGATTGGTGCGTTGCGTCTTGCTTGCAAAGTGTGTCAAACTGTCACATGTCGCATCCTAGACGCGGTAAGCATTTTAGGCCGTCAAATCTAAGTCCCCCTACCCATTTCACACGGAAACAACTTGTTCGAGAACCACGACGTCCTCACCTCACCTTATCTACTTCCCCCAAATGTATAACCACTTGAATATTTGACACCGTGATCAGTTTTATATAAAAATATACAACTTGTTGTAGATGAGTGTCAGGGGAAGCTTAACCTTCGCCTGAGAATTCTCGCGGTTTGAATTTGAAACGGATTGGGATCGGCCGCCACCGCCAGAACGTGTCGGTGTTTTCTCGAGAGTCCTGGTTGCGTAGTCATCAGGGTGACGAACAAAGAACGGCAACCTGGTTTGTACCATCTCTCTACTGGCACCCTCATTACCCTGAAAATGACTAGACTGTGATCAACCCATAATAAACAGCACGTTTTACCCCTTTTTCAATTCACGTTTAGGTGACACTACCACCAAAGACTTGCACTGGGATCGTTGGGATGGGCATTGTGGGGCCAGGTTCGGTGGTAGCTTGTTGGCCAGACGCAACAGTGGACAAATATGAACCATTGGGAATGTAACTAGCCCTGCTGTCTACTGATATTGCTAATAGTGTTTGTTATTGTCTATTGGCGTGATTATCAAAACGTGAAAATCGACTCTGAAGTAAAGTTTCATTTTTCTCAATGACGTCTCTGTGGCTTTTCAAAACTATCTTATGATAAAACAATTTGAATACGTATGTATTATTTCAAGATAAAGAAAATATTAATTGGTAGTGCCTCGGTTCGAAAGGGAGGGCTTGTTAGATCAGTTGGTACAAGATCAAGGATGTGGGTTCATTTCTACTCTAGCCTAACTTTTTGTGTTCTTTTTGCCCTCCAGAATTGAGCAGATACAACCTGGAAACCCGTCCCCGGTTTCGCAATGTGCACAACTGAACATCGAAACGCATCCTCCTACCTGCTGTCTTGTTCGGAACTGAGTAAAATCAATGCAGCGGCACGAAATGACTCCGGATTTTGTTTGAGGTCCCCGGGTTTTGTAATTTCAATTTGTAATAGACAAACTGGATCAAGATTTCCTCTTAAAACACTAGATTTGTCGAAAAGAACTCATACAGGAGTGGCAGGAGTATATCTCTATTGTATCGGTCTGGTTGTTCCATTTGCTCCTTCACCATTCTTTCATGTTTCTGTCGGCCTTTGGTCTCTGTTTTTGCGGTCTTCTGAGTAATGCAATTCTAAATCCAAGTGATCTGATAAGAAATTATTCATTGCTATTCCGAGAAAATATGCTAGACTTTATTTACTCATTTTAGTGTATCAAAAACCTATCCATTAACTTTTCGTGAACGTTTTGGCTTAAGGAAAGCACGTGTTATGGATAAAAACCGTTCCACTTCATCGTTTGAGTTCCTGACTGGCAGACCCGTACGCGTTCACTCTGGGGAAGTCTATAATGTCAAGCGGTTGATTTTAGTCGTTAACGGTAGTAATGAATTCTATTTAAACGGCAAACAGTGAAAGGTTTTCAGTGTCTTCCTGTTTTCCTCAACGCT